ATTTTTACAACATCAAGTTAAATTATAGTTTGCATTTTAATGTGGAATCAATGTTGAAAAAGTGATATGTTTTTCAACCACAATCCTATTGTTTATTGAACATTTTTTAACGTTAAATAAACATTGCAAATACGATGAGATTTTAAAGTTACAGTATCAACATAAGTTAAATGTTTTTCAGTGTCAAGTTAAAATATTGTTTTTACTCAACTTTAATTCAACACTGAATTCAATTTGAAATCTGGTTGAAATTTTAACATAACAATACAATGTTAAGTCTAAATATAATTGTTATTTCAATGTAGAATCAACGTCCATTAATTTAACTCAAAGTTATTTCAACAATAACATTTAAAACTGGTTTGGATATTAAAATTACAGTAACAACATTAGTTCAACATCTTTTCAATGTAATGTTAAAAATAGCTTGTATTTTAATGTATAATCAACGTTCAATGTTACCGTATGTTTTTTCAATTAAAACCTTGTTTATTCCACATTATTTAACGTTAAATAAACGTTGGAAATATGTTGAGATAGGCTAAATTTACAGTAACTATATAAGTCCAAAATCTTTTCAACGTCAACGTAAAATTGCATTTCAATGTAGAATCAACGTTAAAAATGTGTTATGTTTTTCAACCAAAGACCTATTGTTTATTTAACGTTTTCTCAACGTTAAACCCACCCATTATTTACTCACCGTTGTTTCAACAATAAATAAATGTTGAAAATTCTGGTTAAGATATTAAAATTTCAGTAACAACATTACTTCAACATCTTTTCAATGTCAAGTTAAAATATAGTTTTTATTTTAACGTATAAGCAACATTTAAAACAAGTTGTGTTTTAACCCGGAGTTTAAGATTTTACCAAATTTTATTTCAACAATGAATTAATTTTGAAATCGGGTTGCGATTTTAACATAACAATTGCAATAGGCCTATATTTATTCAATATTTTTCCAACGTTAACTTTAAATATAGTTTTTATTTCAATGTAGAATCAACATTGAAAATGTGTTATGTGTTTCTACAAGGTAGGCCTACCCATTATTTACTCAACATTATTTCAACAATAAAAACGTTGAAAACTGGTTGAGATATTAAAATCACAGTAATAACATAAATTTCAACATCTTTTTCAATGTCAAATTAAAATGTAGTTTGTATTTTAACGTATAATCAACATTTAGAATGTTATTTTTTTCAACCAAGTTTAAATTTCTTTAACTCAACCTCAACTTGATATGAAATTTCATAGAAATAATTGTACAAGATTTATTAAAGTTTACCTCCATGGTGGTGTATAAAAAAACTCATAGAGTATTTGTGATCTTTAATCATTATGGTAATTACATTGGTTCTCTGTCCTTGAAAGTGTGGCAAGTAATGGGCTAACCGGATTAGGTCATTAGGTACAGACCAATCAGAAACAAATGCTCATTTTTTGAAGTATCATCAGTTGCTGTAAAGCTGTCTTCATACACAGTTTACATACTAAAGAATTTCAGCATTATCAAATAAATGGTAGGAACTTTATATTTGTATACTATATTAGAGCATGGAGTTATAAAATTATAACTCCATGATTAGAGGGTGTATCTAAACTAGCCCAATATCGTAACTGTATAGGCTTGCTTTATATATATTATGTGGTTATCTTTTATTCTAGCTAAGATACGCCAGCCAGTCCTCTGGCCATAGCTAGTAGAAGAGACTAGGCCTAGACTAGAGTATTGGTATAGGGTAGTGTAAAGGCATAGTTGGGATAATTTTACTTGTTTGGGCTACACTGCAAGTTGGATGTGTGTGCTAAGTTTAAATTATTAGCGGTAATTTTTAATCGCCTAGGCCTAGACCTTTCTTTGCAAAATGGCCATGTCCTGTGTTGAATGCTATAATAGGTCTATATTAAATTAAATATAATGTTAAAATGTGGTTGCATGGACAAAGCGCAAAAATAAATAACACAGCTAGGCCTAGGCCTATTATGTGTGTTTAATAATTCATCTCATATCATGGGCCTACATACTGCCAGTGGTATAATAGCCACATCACTGTCATGTCATCAGTAATCTTTTTTTTTGTTTTGAAGATGTTAATAATGTAAATTTTTATATTTTCTTTCAATAAAGAGAAAAATTAACAATAGGCCTATATCTTTTGATAACATTTGAGGCTATGGTTAGCGTAATGAATAATAGAAATATAAAAATAGATATGGGCTAATTTAGTTGTGTGCATAGGCCTAACTCTAAATAATATGGTATTTCTTTCAGGTTTTCAATCCATTGACAGAAAGCCATGTTTGTTGCAATATATTGTTTGTGGTAGACACTGGGAAAAAACCGACTATTGAATGTGTATTTATTTTGCCTCTTGGTACAAAACTGATGGAAGAGCAGCCATGATGAAGCAGTAAA